AGATCTGAAAAAAATGTTATTAATTTGAAGTCGCTATTGAATTTACACTACCTCTATTGAGACTTTAATTTACTTTGTAAAGATGTTCATATTTTTTTTACTTTGAAAGTTAAAAAAGAACTTTATATACATATACATATGCATACATACATGTATATATGTATATACATACATAGAAGTTGGGCTTCACCCCTTGTGCGCCTTGAGCACTAACCCCCCTACTCTTTAAAATGAGTTGAGTACTTAATTTTTTAGTAAGCCTTTTAAATTTAAAAAAATATAAACATCTTTACAAAATTAATTAAAGTCTAAGTAACGGTAATGTAAATTTAATAGTGACTTTAAATTACCAAGACATTCTTTTCAGTTTTCATTCATCATATTTTTTTTATTTTTTTTCACCGAAAATAGTATGTTGCAGTCATATACTACCTCAACTTTTGTAAATATTGTGAAACATCTAGGTGTTTAAGATACATAATGTAGAAATTTTTATTTATCCATACTAACAAAAACTTATATAGTTGGAGGGAGATGGTAGAGGGCTTTGGTATGGCTACAGACTCATATAAATATAGTATAAAACAAATGCGTGTATATATATATATATATATATTTATTTAATTGAATGAATGTGCTACCCTTATCAAAGACAATCAGGATTGCTTGTTTAACTTATTCTTCTTCCATTACGGTATCCAAGTCTTGGATATTCAGAGTAACATTGTGCTAAGTATTAACCTCTTTTTTTAAACCACTAACGGCCTCATTGACTTATTAGGTAAATGTAGCTATATCCTTGACATCTCTTGCTTTTATCAGCATGCCACCTTTTTTGATAGTAGTTGCACCCTAAACGGTGACTTTATACTTATTAAGCTAAAAACTCGTCTTCACAGTTCTTAGCATATTGGCAAGGGTCTATCCTTGAGCTACATTTAGTGATGCTTTCGTCGTCTTGTTGGTTCTTTGATGGTATTTCTTATTTCTAGAAGGTACGCATTCTTACTAACCATTGCCTGTCATCTTCTTGAAGATTCCAGATCTTAGGATGTTCTTATGGGTGTTTTAAGAACTATTTTTTAAGAGAACAGTTTAAAGTTTTTCTTTAAACTTTATCTCTTTTATTCTCTGAATTACAATCGTTTAAAAGCACACTTCCAGTACCTATAATATATTTATCTTCGAGTGCATTTTTTTACAAGTTCTTCTGGTATTAGGTATTTAAGAGCAGCTTGAAGGCCATCCTTGACGAGACTGCCGTATTTACAAACTTATGCTTAATTAAATAAATCTTTTTCTTTATCTATTTTTTTACTCGTAAAAATTGTTCAACGTCTCGATTTGGCTCCGATTTAGGCTGAACACTATTTTTAACTCAACATTCAAGCTCACCTTACATATGGTTTCTAAAGTTAACAACCCTAAATGTATGAGTCCTGCGACAGTAATCCGTATTTGCAGCAGATTGAGACTACTGGCAGATTCCTTCTTTAAGAGGCTATTACCTGTTTTGTAAAAAATTTTTTTTGCGTTGGCGTTTTATATTATTTGATTTGTTTTCGGAGATCCTATCTGAGCTCATTTTTTCACCAGCGCTTTTTTAATTTGTTTGATGCCTCTTAGATCTTAGAAGCGTTTGCACCACCTATGAAGGTAACTGATAAAAAAAAACTAGCAAAACTCTAATCGTTAGTAGAGTCGTAACAGTAGTAGTAGTAGTAGTATAAGTAATGTAAGCAGTGGTAACCGTAGTGGCAATAGTATTAATAGTCAAAGTAGTACGTTGCGTTACGTTGAAATGATCTTTTTTCATGATAAGCGCCACGTACAGCAAGGTTTTAACACCCTAAAATACTACTACTTTGGGTATTCAGCCTATTAAAAAAAATTTGTTAAAAAATCTCCACATATTTTGATAGAACTTGATCCTATGGCACCACGAGTCTCTCTGATTAAGAGGCTAACACGCTTAGCACTAAGCCGTAAAGTTTCTAATATTTTGATTTTAAAAGTTGCTAAAATTTATGATCGTATGAGTAGTATATTAACATCTTTGATAAAAAACTTAATTTTTTGGTGTAATACCTCGGTATTGTCTTACAACTTCAAACTTGACAACAAGTAAGAAATTAATTTTGGATAAATATTATCATTTGTAATGAAAAATCTGGCCAAACATAGATAATACTTTTTTTATAGTTTCTTGGATCCTAACTATGGGACGTAAAAAACGAGGAACATATGGCAGAATATTACAATGACTCAGAGATGTAGAAAAAATTGACAGGTCGGGAAAACAAGAGACTTTAATCTTTGAAATTCCAAAAATCTAGCGTAAAGAATATTTTACAGCTCATATTCCTTGTGTACTGATAACTATCTGCTTGCATAGGGGATATAGATTCACTGATTTATGAAAGTATAAACAAAAAGGACACAACCCAGTAATCTCTAATTAAGATGCTAAAATATTTGAATGATATGGGTCTGAATTTTGAAGGAAATTAGTTCTCTTATTAATCTCAGGTTTTTCAATGCATTGTTAAAAAGTGTTACTTCACTATGTAGCTACGAGCAGTTTGTATGTGTGCTGAAAAGACTTAAACCGTAGCTATCATGTGCAGAGGAATCGTAAAAAAAGAATTTAACTTGGATTACGAATAAATGCTTAAATTGTAAGAGCAGTTGCTACATTGGAAAGAAATGATATAGTATTGATTATATTAGTTGCAGAATCAAAAGTCAGAAACAAAAAGAAGATTTTTGTATGATTAAAAAATAATGAGTTACCTGTTACAAACAACTTATGCATTATGTAATAAATCAATCATCCCAGATAAGTTTTAGATCAGTAATTCTAACGATAGTTTATTTTGTAAAGCTTGATTACTGAATTACAAGGTTCTCCTTAAAAATAACTTACGGCTATTTTAATTAATAAAAGACGTGACAAACAAATTAAGTTCCTTGCATTTTAGGAAAAATTTTTTGGTACTTTAGATAATAAAATCAGCCATATGATATTTATCGCAAAAATGATTTAAAAAAAAGAGCGTAATTATACGCTTGTTAAAGTAATAAGAAGCTGCTAAAACATGGATGTACAAAAATTATTCCTCAACAATTTACCTTCTTATAAAAGTCAATAGTTCCATAAGTTTTACATGTTAAATTAAAAACTTTTAAGAACCTCTGAAGGCTTTATACCGTTTTAATTAACTGTTTCATTTTGGAGCATCACACTTTTCGTATGAGTCTCATAGTACCACACATTCTAGTACTCGTACACTTACCAAATAAAACTGGATAATTTTTTGTTTTAATAGGTACTATATGCAAACTTCTAACTAAAACATAAACGCTTTTTAAATATTAATTTAAGAACTTTGCAGCGCTGATTATTTGTTGAAAATAGTACTATTTGCTGTAACTCAATAAAGCTTTAAGAAGTTCTTTAAACTATTGTAATCAAAGACATTACATTTGTGTGACTTACTTTTTTTTAAATATTAATTTTATAGTAATATCTTACCTTTTTAGAAAAATAAAACTTTTTATTCATTTATTGTAAATAAGTGAAAAAAAAGAATGAACTGAAAGGAAAGAACTGAATACAGTATAAGAAATAGACAAAGTATGTTTGTTTATACAACACAGTCAGAAAGTTCTTGTAAATTGCCATTTTACACTCATCTTCCGTCAAAATAACCCAAAACTTATGTACTTTCGAACATACAAAAATCATATTTATGACACAGTCCTTGTGAATATAGTATGTGTAAAATTAACTCACTAACACGAAATAAGTTAAGTTTTAACAGAGAATTTCTGTAGAATGCAATTAAAACAGATCATGTATAGTCTGTTTCATTGTGAGCATAATTTTTCTATTTATAATTAAACCGTTTTTAATGGTAAAACTGTAAAGTAGTTTAAAAAGTATACATTAAACTAACATGTACACTAGGCAAACAAAAAAAAGTGACTATTCCTCGCTGTTTGAAAATTTGAATATACGATTGCCAAGTAAATAGTAGCAAAGGTTCTGATGCTTTGTCTATTTTTCCACTTACCTTGCAACGATTTCATGCTATTGAATATCATGACGGTGCACGTAATTTTCTCTGTGCATATAGCGGCAAAAATTGGAACTTCAATGTAAAATTTTATTTAAAATATATGAACTCGCTCGACACTAGTACTAAATTCACGTTATCCACTGAATGGACACACGTATTTTAAGTAAGATTGGGTGTCAAAGTCTTCATTTTTGCTACAATGTAGACACATCAAATAGAGCACAGTAGAGAATAACCACCTAAGTAGGCCATGCCTACTTCTGTCACTTTACTGGACTCAGTGCAAAAAACATAAGTTCTTACAGAACGATTTACAATCCAAACAATCAAAAGAGCTTATGGTTGAATGAATTGTATTTTAATTATTGAACAGATAAACAATTACACAAAAACAGTTGTACTTGAAACTTTATAGGACTGCTTACAAAAAAGTTTTTTGTCATTCATTCATGTAACCGTCATAACACAAATTAAGTTTTTTTGCTCCAGGTAGACACATAAGTAAAAAAATACTCTTAACGATCTGTAAATATAATAACTAAGGACTAAATTTGTACTTTTTGACTAGTAAAGTTAAAGGTGTAATTTAATTATTACTTAAACCTTAGTAACAGCATTTTCTATGATTTATAATATATTATATAATATAAATNAGTTACATTAATTACTAATAATTAATAAAATAGTACCCCAGGCAATGACAACTTGCATGCATTTATCAAAGCCACAGTAAGAAAAAACAAACTAAAATTAGAAACTTGCATAATTGAATCTATCAACTTATCTAAGAAATTTTCAAAATATTGAAATCCTCGTTAATCAATAATTTTTTTTTTTTTCCTAATGTTTTCAATGCTTTCAAATAATGTACGTGGAACCTATATTTACAGGAATTACAAGTGAATTCTTTTCTCGCAGATTTGGAAAAAGGAAGAAATTCTACAAAAGTTCTCTTATCTAAGATGCCTCATATTTTACCCCATTCTGAAAGAGTGCTACTTTTTCGGAAATACGTGATGGAGGATAAAGCGACCTTGAAATTCTCTGCTATTGGATCAACTTTAATATCAGTGCACAGGTTTGATTTTTTTTGTCGTTTTTACTTTTTTTACAGTGCTTAATATCACAGTACTATTTTTTAATTTTTTTTTATTAAACAAAAACTTGGTAAGCAGTATTGTAACAAACGCATAAAATATTTGCATTGTATTTCAACCTTATTTATTTATTGTAAGACAATATATTTTAGTTTTAAATAATAATAGCAATACGATTGCTACTTTACTTTCAAGGGTCTTTTATAAAAAATTGATGGAGGATTATTTATTCATACATACATCGGGATAATAAAAAACTCAATAGTGTAATGGGAAGTGCTCAATATATTAACGTATTAAATAATATACTCAAATACGCTTGATGTGAAAACCTTCATTTTATAACAACAATGAAGAAAACTTTCAGTGGATCGTAAAAATTGTTTGATGTCAAAAATTAAAAAAAATATCAAAAAGATAACAACATAATATATAAGCTTACGTATAGTAGTATACAATTTTGTTTAATGATGAATTTAATTTCAAAAAATTAGTGCTAATTACTTCAATGCTGTGATTATATTAACATTAAATAATATTAATTACATTGCAATACTTTTAGAAAATGTATTTATTTAAATTATAGGAAACTTTTACAATTAAGATAAATACTTGGTACATGAATTATTTTGTTAATTCATGATTTAGTATTTTATGTACATAACCACGTACATTTGATGCAAGCAATCAAACTTTCTTCACGATCTAAAACATGGAAATAGCTTAATTATAATTATCCTTAAAGGTTTTAAGGTTTTTTTCACAATCATAAAGAATTTTGCTCTTTTAAAAAATCTTTTATTTCTCAAAAACTTTTCAAAAAGTGTAAATGACTTGTTAATCAAAATTTTTTTTTCCTACATATTTGTATGGAAAAAAAAGAGCCTCAGCTTATTTCTTTTCATAATAGCTTGTATTAGAAGTTAGAATGTTACCAATAAACAAATTTTCAGGGCAAAATCTCAGAAAAATCCACACAGTTATCTTACAGTTTAAATAGCCACCGTAAAACGTTTTAGCTTCCTCAGCAGTAAAAAAAATCATTCAACATCATTAAGTTATGTAAAAATGCAAATAAGTCTTAGACACTAATTGCAATCTAACGTTTCTCGTCAAACAATCGTAGAAGTTCTTCTAAAACAAACTAAACTACGTTTATTTATTTTGCTGTGGTAAGCGTTTTAAAGCACATATAAGTTACAACCATAGACTAATAAAATCTGTTATAAGAAGCATCATATTTATCTTATAAAAATAAAATTATTATTTGATGAAAAAAAAAGATCTCAAAACCTTACGGAATTAAAAAAATTCGAAAATAAGCTATTTTTTGCTGAATGCAATGAAATCATGTTGAGGATCGAATTTAGATTACAAATGAGGAAATTGTTGTATCAATGTTGATAATATACAAAACTTGGTTAACGTCTGGGGTATTATTTTATTAATTGATAAAATAATTATTATTCTTTTAATTTAATCGTTTCATATAGATTTAATTTTTAAACGTCACGAGCAGCTCCGATTTCAAAACTTTGCGCTTGATAGTACCGACTACCACCCCCTAGGTGATAACTACTAGTTTCTGGCAAACATCGCAAGTAAGAAAGTTGCTTATAGTATATAAGAAGGGCTGTGTGACTTCTTAAAATCATCTTTCCGGATCACACGATCGAAGTCAAAGCTAGGTTCTTGCTCACTCCACAAGACCGTCGCTATGGCAACGGCTAGAACACCAATTAATATGAATAAAATAACTGTGTTTAAATACCACTTTAAACTTAGTGTTTTGACTCTTACTATACCTACTCTCGCCATCATTATTGACACTATGTGGCACTGTTATCCAACTACTGTGAGAATTAGACAAACTGTCAAAACTTTTTGGCACTAGTAGTTGTGTCTTACATAATATACTAAAAAGAAACTCTTCACGACTGCCGAGGGTCACTGCCCAACCATCCACCAGTGGCACTAGCTCCTGTGGCGGCATCGGACTCCATCAGAAGCACTACCTCTTCATGCCTGTAGTCTCTAGCACAGGGTGTTTACTTATGCTCAATCCTCATTGCCAAACCACCCATCAGCGACAGCAGCTCCAGTGGTGGCATTGAATTCCAGCAGAAGTACTGCCTCACTATGCCTAGAGTCTCCAATCCAGGGTTCTCCTCGTTAATTCATCTCTACGGCCAATTCGACACCTTTTGAGAGAATTCTTGCCCACCTCGACTCCTTTTCGCTGTTCTAAGCCACCCACCCCAATAGGCTCCTCATAGCAAAGCGGTACTATCAAGTGCAAAGTCTTATAATCAGAGCTGCGCTCGACATTTACAGATCAAATTTGTGTAAAACGATTGAATTAAGAGAGCAATAGTTACATTAATTACTAATAATTAATAAAATAGTACCCCAGGCAATGACAACTTGCATGCATTTATCAAAGCCACAGTAAGAAAAAACAAACTAAAATTAGAAACTTGCATAATTGAATCTATCAACTAAATCGTAAGGTATACCCAATTTTTATAAAAGAATTTGGTAATTTNAAAATTAAAATTGCATGCGATGTTAAAAATTAAATGAATGTAAAACGATTAAAATTAATGAATGTCAATTATTTAATTAATTAATAATTAATAAAATAGTACCCCAGGCAATGACAACTTGCATGCATTTATCAAAGCCACAGTAAGAAAAAACAAACTAAAATTAGAAACTTGCATAATTGAATCTATCAACTAAATCGTAAGGTATACCCAATTTTTATAAAAGAATTTGGTAATTTTTCATTAAACAAAATCGTATACTATTATACACAATACTACGATAATTTACAAGAGAGACATAACTGCCTTGCACTTTGATGATCAATTCTATCAAATACAAACAATTAAATTAATTTATGCTAAGCATTATTTATGTATTGCATAACAGGCACTAATATAAATAAACTAAAACTATTACTAATCGAAAGATTGCCAGAGCTGGAAGTGTAATTCAAATTGTAGGATTTTAGTATGTTTTTAATATCCATGTGCTGACAGCATGAAAATATTAAGCACCGATTTTTTCAAATTGAAAAAAAATATCATAATAATAATAATATTATTAAAACATAAGTAAATTTTTTTGGGCCTTCGGCTGTTGTCTCTCGTGAACTGAATGTTCATAGGTTCTTGGAAGTTTTAAAACGCTTAAATTTTACTCATATCCTTGAAAATCAATTTTTTTGGTATTATAAAATTATAAAATAGCATTGCAAACTAGAACTATTAACGTAATAAAGTATTTAATAGACTCAGTATTGAAAATACAATTATTTTAACGTTCCTGAAGAAAATTTTAAGAACATTGATAAATTAAAACGCAAGTTATAATAAAAAATAAAAACAGAATAATTAATTGCATTAAAAAAAAAAAAAAAATCTTACGCCAATTGGAATCGAACCCCAAATTGCGAAACTATCTCATCAGTGGCATAAGCCGTAGCCATCTCAGCTATTTAAACTTCGGACATTATATGATCCGAAGTCACATATGTTCATTGATAACCTCCGGAGCTTGGCCTACACTTCATAGCGATTATGATAAGTAAAAATAATAAATTGTTTTTAAGGTGGTTATAGCTATACTGTCAACCTCAAAAAATAACTTGAGCTAAATATTTTTCAACGCACTTTCTTTGATACACCGTACTATTAAAGTACAGGAAGAATTAAAAAATAAATGCCTGGAAAGTATGTGCTTACAATTGTAAGCATTTAGTTGTAGCATTAAATTTTAGAACAACATGGCTAGCCTCTCTTAAGCTTTCATATGTTATACAAAAATTGTAAAATTGAAGAATAGGTTTTTCATTTTAGAAACATTAATACCAAGACTTTGTTTTCTCTATTCCCCCTTAATCTCTAAGATCTCATTTAAGAAGTAAGTATAGCGAGAAAAACGCGTCGCAATTTGCACTCATTGCTTGCTTTCGCTATGATATACATGGCCATAGCTGTATAGCTATAGTTACCGTTTCCACTTCTCTTTCCGTAGGCACATATACAGTATACTCATTCTATGTGTATCCAAAGTTTTCACCTGCATGCCCATTTCCACGCGAATCTGTAGGCACACACTCGGCATACCGCCTCCTCGCTTGTCAAATAAAAAAATCATGTGCGGCTGGTTCGGCCACTTGGCCACGACGGGGTGCTCAAAATAGTGACAAAAAGTTAACTCATACCGTAGCATTCTGGTTAGCAATTTGTCTACTCATCTCTGATGTAAATAACAGATGATATTTTCCCTTTTTATTAGATGCGTATTATTATAATGACACTTAGCGATTCTGAGGTTGTAAATGTATTTTTTTACGTAGTTGGGAACAAATACCTTTTAGATTTTAGGCAATATTTTGAGGTTATGTTAAAATAGTTATGTAGATTGAAATACTTATGGATGGTTTTAATATGGCTTTTGATAAATGTGTATATCAATGTGCAGAACACATTTTTTTCAAAATAAAATTTTGTTAGATTACAAAGCTGCACTGCTCATACTCTAGATTCTCCAAAAATCTTAGCCTGGAGAGTTTTTTAACAATATTTTCTATATTTTTCTATGCTAGTACGTACAATTATTTTTAATTAAAAAAAAAATCATACTGATATTTCCTTCGAATGTTATTGATTTTTTAAGGACAAAAACAAAAATGCGACACTGTGTGGCGTAAGTTGCCTTTTGAGGTGTTGAATTAGCTGTTGAAATTGAATAACGACAACCATGATTTCAGTGTTAACTTGCAGATATTTTGATTGAACTTAAAAGTGGCCCTAGCTACACTGCTGTGCATAGGCTTTGCAGAGGGAGCTAAGAACTCGCGATCGCTAAGGATCGGGTGATCCAAGTCAATTATTTCAAGTCGTTACGCAGTTCCTCTTAAACACTAAGAATCGCTTTGATACTTGCAATGTTCTTCGGGAACTAGAAGTTA